TTCCCCCGCCGCCTTTCTGCGAGGGCCTGCTCCCTCTCGCTTATCCCCCTTCCCCCCCTGCACGCCGCCGAGGCTCTCCCGTGGCCCCTCGTTCCTCCCTCGTGGCTGCTGTGCGCTGGCCGCCCCTCAGCACGCCTCCCTCCTGCCCCGCTGCTCCCCGCCCGCCTCTCCTGGTTTGCTGCCCCTCGCCCGCGTTTTTTCGTCCATCCGCCTCTCTTCGCCGCTCGCGCCTGCCCCTCCCCCGCCCCTTCCCCCTCCGCCTCCTCCTCCTCCTCCTCCTCCTCCTCCCCCTCCTCCTCCTCCTCCTCCTCCTCCTCCTCCTCCTCCTCCTCCTCCTCCTCCTCCTCCTCCTCCTCCTCTTCCTCCAGCGCCAACTCGGTCCAAGGCCGTGCGAGCACGCGCTAGGGGTCCCCCTGCCCCGCCCGCGCCCTCCCCTCCCCGCTTTCTCCGGCCTCCTCTTCTCCCATCGCCGCCTGCGGGATGGAGGGGTTGCCGACCCGGGAGGGTGGCGCCCGCCGCCCCAATCGGCTTGCCGCCGCACGCCGCGCCCAGGCGGTGCGGGCGCAGGGGCGGGCCACCCAGCACCTCCTGCGAGCATTCGCGGAGGTTCAGGCGCATAGGGGCCAGGAACTCTCCCGCCTGGTCCGCGCCCTGCGCCAGGTGCTGGAGGCCGACCGTGAACATGGAGCTCTTCCCCCTCGCGATCAGCATCCGCGTGGCGCTGATCGACCACGAGTGGTGGATCTTCTGCGAGTGGGCCTTCCTCCACCAGTCGTGGGTCTTCAAGCTGGTGCGCGAGCTGACCGCGGGGATCTGCACCTCGGAGATGCTGGGACGCATCTTCGACACGCAGGTGCGGATCCTCCGCGTGAAGCGATTCCTCCACCAGTAGCCGATTTCCCACCAGACGCGCTACCACCAGGTGCGCTTGTCCTCCAACGTGGAGACCTCCGTGGCGGTGCGCAGCAGCTACCTCAAGCAGGCGCTATCGGTCTTAGCACTGACGCTCCATATGCCGCATCTCCTGCCCAGTCGGTTGCTCTTGGGGCCACGCCTCGTCGTCGACGGCGTGTCAAAGGGGCGCCCGAGCCCAAGGGCGCGGAAGAAGTCGAACACGTGGACGACGATGCATCGACGCCCCGTGAGCGTCGATCCTCCGTCCCCTGTGAGAAGGCTGCAAGTGGCGTGCCCTTCTCTGTTGGCTCCTCATCGCGTTGTGCTGGCGTGCGTCTGGAAGAAGGTGTGCGCGTCCATGACGCTAACACCGAAGACATCATAGGGGCGGAGACCCAGCCCCTCCCCGAGCCTCCGAAGAAGCCTCCTACGGATAATGTTGGCAGGGATGGTGGGCATGGCGACGGCGGGTCTGCCACTCCTCTCGTCGTTGCCCAGGTGTCCCAAGTGCCCCCCTCGGAGCTTTCTGATTTAAAGTCGGAGGAGGGGCGAAAAGATGCCCGGTCGAAGGCCAGCGACGATCATCCAGTGATGCAGCCAATTCTTTGTCCCCCCGATCGGCGCGTGGGAAGTTTGCCAGGGCAGGGCGGAAGCATCCAGGATGTCCAAGCTGGCACGGGGGCCAGGGCCGCAGGTTTTTCACTGGCGCATTCGGGCCCACGGCTGGCGAGCAGGACAACTACGTTCCAAAAACAATTCGCTCAAAATGGCCCCGCGGCGCCTGGGCCGCCGAAGGATGAAAGGGCGGGCGCCCATGACGCACCCGCCAAGCTGGGGCCTGTTTAGACTGCCATACCGATCGACTTCAAGGGTGTGTCCACTCCGAGTGCCACTCCTGAGTCGGCGGTCTTGCCGATCAGGCCTGCCGCGCGGCCGCCTGCCTGCGCCCCCGTCGGCGCTCGGGTCACGGGGCAGGGGTCGGGCGGCGCTGCTGCTGGAAGCGCCCGGCCTCCGCTCGGAGCGAGGGCTGACATGAACTCCGAGGCTCATCGCGTGGAGGTCGACGAGGTCCACGACAGCTTGCGCAGTCTCACTGGTCGAGGCGACGCCAGTGCTGAAAGTGGCAGGCAAGGTGACAAACCGCGCCCAGCTAGCACAGCCCATGGCGAAGCTAGCGGGGTGATTGCCGTGAGCCGAACCCATGGTGAAGCTCGCGGCGCCACTCAGGCGGCGGTAAGTGGCCCATTTGTTCGGAACATATTTGAGGGCTGCCTTCTATCTGAGGCTGCACGCCGCGAGCTGGCCTCAGAAGCTACCGCTGCTGGGTCGTTGACAGGTGCTTCTGGGTCCACCCCTGGGGCCACTGACAGACAGCCCGCGGCATAACAACGAACCGAAGACGGTCCAGACAGCCCATGGCGAGTCTGACCGCAAAAACGGCGCGCGCCGGGCACTCCGCGAAGACGCGGGGGTCCAAGTCAGCGGTGATCGGGAGACAGAAGTGCCGGGTAAGCGACGCCGCAGCCGCCCTCGTCTCCACCAGATCTCTGTCGGCTTGCGCGGTACCGTGCACAAGGTCGACTACATGGTCGGGACGCGCAGCCACGAGGAGGTCTTCGGGGCGTTCGTTGCCTGGGACTTCCCGCTGGCGGGAGGTGTCGACATGACCTTCCGCCCGCTCGACGAGTAGCAACAGTTCGCGCGTGTTTGACTTGTTGCTGTTTCCCTCATGCTGGTTACCTGGGTGAGTGACTTGTCTGGGTTGTGGGTCGCGCGAAGGAGGACGTCTACGCCCTCCCCGTCAGTGGCTTCGCCTGCGGCTCCGCGTTGCTCTCCTACTTCATGCTGGACGGGATCTTCCTTGACTCGTCCTTCCTCCACGCTTTCTTCCACTTTGCCCTCTCCGCCATCGCGGCGCGAGGGCGCCTCGGCGTAGTCCGTCGGGCGCGCGCCAGCGCGGCCGACGGGGGACGCGCGAGAGGCGCTGCGCTCCTCCTCCTCCTCCTCCTCCTCCTCCTCCTCCTCCTCCTCCTCCTCCTCCTCCTCCTCCACTCCTTTTCCTTATTCTCCAACCAGTGCTTGCGCTGGAGGGGCCCTGGCGGAAGTTAAAAGATTTTGCGAAAGTTTCCCGCCGTTTTTGGTAGCGGGCTGGGTGCCGGGGCTCCCGGTTCCGGGTTCCTGGGTTCCCAATATTGGTTCCGGGCCGATTTCGGTGGGTTCTGGGTTCCCCAGTTCCTGGGTCCTCGGTCGATCTCCTCAGCGAAAACCATCCATTTAGTAGTTTTCCTCTGGCGCAATGAATATCTCCTCCCTGTCGCGCCACGAGGTTACTTTTTAGAGCGGACTGGGCGTTTCGCCTGAGACTTCCTCATCGCTTATGCCCCGGAAGCTATGGAGGGCGGGCGGTGTTCAAAATCTGGCTCTCGCTTTAGCGCGGCGCACATTCGCTTTAACAATTTGCACGAGCTTCGCGGATTGAGGGCGGGTGGTTTTCAAAATGTGGTTCTCGCCTTAGCTCCGCGCGCAGTCGCTTCAAACATTTGCGAGAGCTTCACGGATCGAGGGCCACCCGTTTTCAAAATGTGGCTTTCGCTTTAGCACGGCGCACATTCGTTTTCAATATTTGCAGAAATTTCACGGAATGAGGGCGGTTATTTTTCAAAATGCGGTTCTCGCTTTAGCGCGGTGCACATTCACTTTTAACAATTCCAAGAGTTTCACGGATTCCCATCATGAACGAAACGGAAATGGTGTTTTGAATCGATTCAGGATTCCGCGGGTGCAACAGTCACTTTGGTTCGCTGTGTTGAAGTCCCAAGAATGGCGTTCTGGCGCGATTGAGGATCGTCAAAACGCAACAGTCAGGTTGATCCGTGGCGTTGAAATCGCGAGAACAATGTTTTGGCATGCTTCAAGATCTTCAAACGGTTGTCATCCAACGAGGCGGTTCCTTCAATGGAAATCAACCGCTGCAGCGGCCTATGAAGAGGAAACTTGGAGACAGGGTGTATGCCAACATCGTTGATGACCCTTGGGTTTCCACAAGGCCTCCTCCTCCTCTTTACCCTCCTCCTTATCCTCCTCATCCTTATCTTCCTCCTCCTCCTCCTCCTCGTCCTCCTCCGCCTCCTCATCTTTATTCTTCTCCTCCTCCTCCTCCTCCTCCTCCTCCTCCTCCTCCTCCTCCTCTTCCTCCTCCTCCTCCTCCTCCTCCTCCTCCTCCTCCTCCTCCTCCTCCTCCTCCTCCTCCTCCCCCTTCTCCTCTTATCCTCCTTCTCCTCCTCCTCCTCTTTATCTGTTTTTCTGTATCATCCTCTTCCGCGCCTGCCTCCTCGTTCCCGCCTGCTCCTGGCTCGGCTCGCCCTCTCCTCTTCTCCCCGCAGACTTGGCAGGCAGCAGCGGAAAGGCGCGCCAGAATGGCGAGGCAGAGCGGAAGACTGTGCACTGGGCCGCTGACTTCCCACTGTAGTCTTATGTCGGGCGTGTCTTTCTACAGGAGGACAATTCAGCACTAGTCCAAAAATGGTCTGGGGACGATGTGCGGACTATCCTTTGGGATATCGGTTGCATATGTTGGACTGTTTTCAGTTTTTCGTCAAATCAGCCTGCAGGGGGACATGCCCGACCTGACGGTAATCGACGCGGCTCTCTTCGGAGGCGTCCCGCCCGCCCCGGGCTTCGGGCGGGATCTCCTTCCTTCCTTCCCTTCCCTCGGCCGCCGCTCCTCCCCTCCTCGCTCTCCGCATTGCCGTTCGCTCCTGTCTTCGCTCCCCCCCTCGCTCCCAGGCCTCCCCGCTCCTCCGCTTCCGCTCTGGGGCAGCGGGCCGCGTCGGCAAGCGGAGGCAGCAGGCGGCAGCAGAGAAGCAGTACCAGCGAGCAGCATCGGCACGCAGCGCACAGGGCAGGCAGCGGCGGCAGGCGGCAGGCGGCAGCAGGCGGCGGGCAGCAGCACGCAGCAGGCGGAGCTGGCCAGCAACAGCAGCAGCCTGCGGCCACTCGCTGTCACAGCGCGCTGCTACCTGCGAGCATTACCAGCAGCACGCGGCGGGGGAAGCAATCAGCAGCACGCAGTAGCAGGCGCGGGCTACGAAGCGGGCCAGCCCTAGTCAGCTACAACGCCGGGGTCAGCGCTTGCGAGAAAGGGAGTCAGTGGCAGCGAGCGCTGGCGCTGCTCGGCGAGATGCGGGAGGCGAAGCTGGAGCTCACCGTCGTCAGCTACAGCGCTGGGATCAGCGCGTGCGGGGAGGGCGCGCAGTGGACGCGGGCCCTGGCGATGCTCGGCAGCATGCGGGGGGCGGAGGTGGAGCCCGCCGTCAGCACCTGCAGTGTCGGGAGCGGTGCCTGCCAGAGGGGCTGGCAGCGGCGCCGGGGCACGGGACCTGCCCCTGACGCGAGCGTGTCTCGTCCCCGCGCCGCTTCGCCCCTCTGCAGCTGCTGCTCTCCCAACGCGGCCTCTTCTCCTCACTCCTGCTCCTTGCTCCTCACTCCTTGCTACTCGCCTGTCGCTCCCCAGATTGCACAGTCTCTTGATACCCTGCCCGTCCCGACCCGCCCGCCCGACCCGCTCGATGGGGTCCGCCCGCCTGACCGGCCCGTTCGGACCTGCCCGTCAGGGTCCGCTTGCCAATATTTGTACCGTTCTTCGAGATTACCGCCAGTCCCACAGCACATGAGGCATTCAATCAATAGCTCTACCCTGCTCCGGTATCAGGGTAATGGGTTATGACTGTAGCATTGTCTGAGCTAGGGTCATTGAGTCATATTCTAAGTTCGTATCACTGTGATGTCCTTAATGCTGCCAGTGCCCTACAATGTTACCTAGTACATCCCGACGCCGGTGGACTTCATCACATGGCTGCATGTGGTACACAAACGGTATTACTATAAGATCAAGCGCTTGTCGGATTTATGTTTTTGGTTATGGTCATATTGCCCTTGCCCTGGGGTGGGATGGATGGCTGGTGGGCTAGTGCTGTTATATGCTATGAGGAATGGGACTACAGTAATTCACATCCCAAGCCAGTGTCATCCCGGAGATAGGTTATGGTTACAGTACTGGTTGTGTTGAAACTATCTCGTACGATACTTAGAGCCTGTCAACGTTGTCTCGTGGTTGAGGGTTTGCGCTGCACGCATAGCTTACATGATTCGGCTTCAGGCTCGTTGACCCCCCCTGCGTTTTTCTGCGCGAAACAAGGACATGATTTCTTCCACCTACTGCTGCTCCTCATCCTCCTCCTCTCCTCCTCCTCCTTCTCCTCCTCCGCCTCTTCCCAATCGGAGTCCGTAGCCGTCCTGGTTCACAGTCCCGTGTCGCCTGGCGGCAACGTTGAGACCGCCCGCGGCCAGCTTCTAGCGGACGTGCCCTGGCGTCCGCCGCCAGCGCCCGCCAATGCCCGATGGCCCGCGCATGCCCCCGACAAGTTCCGGTCGGACCAAGCGGGGGAAGAAGATCCCCGTTGCTGGTGCTGCTGCTCTTGAGCCTCGCTCCGATGCGACTGGAGCTGGAGGTGACGGATGGACCTCCTCATGATGAGGTGCAGCATGATGATGTCAGTGTCCTGATCTTTTTGGCCTGGCCCTTGGTGACACCGAAGCGGGCAATGAAGAATATGAGGAAACCGATGACGGGTACATCGATCCTCTTGCCAAGGAGGTCATCCACCATGAGCTCATTACCTAAAGGTCCCCAGATGTTCGCCTCTATCCCCAAGACTGTCGCCTTCGCGGAGGAGCTGGCTGCACGGGGTGTTTCGGCTACTGCGCTTGGCCCCAGAACGGCCGACCATGCAGCAGCCAGGCAGCCCGACGGCCCCAACTCCGACGCCGTCGGGAGCAGCTGGCCGGCCTCGCCATGCGCATCGGGAGCACATGGCCGGTTTGAACATCCGCATCGAGGCCAGCTTCAGGAGGGGAAAAATCACACAGACACAAATAATCGTCGATTCTCCAGAAAATATGGGAAAATATTAGAAGCGGGAGGGGGAAGCCACAAACCCAGAGAATATGGGAAAAGATGGGGAATCCTTTATTAGTGTGTATTTATTTGCGTGTCCCAGGGCCCCTTCACATTGGTTCTCGCTTGGATGACCCCGCCCCCCACCGCCGCCCTTCACCCCCATATCAAGAACCTCAACGACGCGCCCGACATCGCCAACGCCGAGCCGGCCACCCCCGTCGTCTCCTCCACCGGCTTCGAGCGCGAGACAGACCTTTCCATCGTCATCAGAAGCATGACTGGTAAACTCACCGTTCTGGGCAAGGTCAAGCAGCGCATGCGTGATTGGATAGTCGAACTGAGCGCACCCGCCCTTATCATTCGAGATTGCGGCACCTGAAGACGCGCACAAAAGTTCCACCATCCAGCTAATGAGATCGATTGGGCCCGCAAGCCGCCAGGTTTGAAAGTTATTGCTGCGCAGCTCAGGGCCCTTGGGAATGGAGGCGCTTTGAAGTCGAAGCTGTTGCTGGTCTAGCTGCCTCATTGCACATCGGCCCCGACAAGAATCTAAGCAAGTGCGAACGCTGATTGAGGAGCGCAAAGTTCGCGGCGCAGTCGAAGAGGTTGTTTCTGCAAGGTGGCACTGCCTGAAGTTGCAGAGCGGAGCCTTCGGCCAATTGCTGAGATGGTTTATGGTCCTCATGCCGGTCGCCCGACGATCTCGTTCGCTCGCCACTTGGAATGTTAGAGCCCTTCTCCAATGTCATGGCGTGGATGCGGTAGCGAAGCTGCAGCCCCTCCGTTGGTCGGATTTCGTCAATGGCGTCATTGGCGCACAGGAGTTTCATCAAGAAGAGACTCAGCTTCGCTTCTTCCTGGGGAAGGTGGCCCCCAAGATGAAGGGCATGTCCTCATTCTGTCCTAGCGCGCTGGTCAGGAAGGTGCGGCGATTGTTTTTTTCCTGCGGACTGTCCTCTTAAATTTTCCTCCATAATTTTGGTCCTGGCTGGGCACGGCGAGTAGAGTGCTGGCCCATCGCGACCGGCGCCTTATCCATTGCCATGTAATTACGTAGCCATGAGTTGCCCACGTGTGAACTGGAACCCGCGGGCCTTTCCAGTCGTCGCGATGCTGCCGACGCCCGTGCTCGCCCTGTGCGAACTTTGTTGTCTCCACGGGGACTGCGCTTGCGCGCTGCCGCCCCCCTTTTCGCCCGCCTCCCGCGTCGGCGAGCCGCCGCTGGCGCGGAGGGGCAACGTGCGCAGGCTGCCAAGTGGAGAAAGATTTCGGGGTCTCTCACTGAAGCTTCGTCGGACGAGTTCGCCCGCTACCGCGACGGTGCCCGCCCCGTTTCCATCGTCGACCGCGCGCGCCCCGGCCGACCTGGATGGGCTCTGCGCCAGCTCGCCGCTGAACCGCGCGTCGCGGGCCGCCCCGAAGCCCTGGCCGACCAATCCGTCAGTGGCCTCGCTGCCCGGGCTGGCAGCGCGGCGCCGGGCCGACGGAGTTCCAGCGCGCCCCGCGCCGCATCTCTGAATCGGTTGCTGTCGAGACCGCGCTCGAGTCGGCCGTCGCGCACCCCGACTTCCAGTGCAAGTTTCCGCCGCGGCAGGCGGGGCCGCGCAAGTGGTCCATTCGCAAGGCGTCACGCGAGGTCCACGACCGGTCGCCTCGTCGCGCCCCGGAGTCTCTGGGCCTTGCTTGCGCGGCAGATCGCTCGCGCTGCGCGTCGCAGCGACACCCCGCCAGCAGCGAAATAGAGCGCGAGCCAACTTTCTCAGCATCCATAGCAGATCTGTCTCGCTTACCCACCCCTCCGCGCGTCTAGGATGGCCAGGCGCGGCCCGGCATTGCCGCGCGGACTCTCGAGGGCGCCAATTGGAGGAGAAGTTCTCTTTGCCCGTGCCACCTCAGCAGCTTCGCCGCCAATCTCGAGCTTCGGAGTGCAGAGCGGCTCTCGCATGGTTCTCCATAGCGCCGAGGCTTCTGGTAACGTGACTGATTTGGTGGCGGGCCAGATTGAGATTCATGATCGACCTCGTGAACATTGAGCTCCTATCTCCCACTCCGAGCCTACCGACAGGACATGGAGATCGCCTCTTCGTGAATCGCGGACCACGCGATCAAGATGGCTTTCTCGTCGGTTAACCCGCCCGCGCCTGGCCCGCTCGAGAAAGTTGCACGGAAGCCCCCATTCCGAGCCAGGCCTAGATGCCATGCCATATTCGGCGCGGTGCGCTTCGGAGGTGGGCCTCGTTTTTTCTTCGGACGCCCTTATGTGGATGTGATGTGGCCAGTCCTTCTTCCAGGCGCTCTTTGCGCGTGGTCTCCCAAAGGCGAAAATATGGCAGGCCCCCCCGGGCCCCGCCGACCCCGCGCCACAGTTCGCGAGCCTTCGGGGCGCGGACATTGGGATCACCGGCGCCGCGGTGAACGCCGAATGCAGCCCCTTCTCCGCAGCTGGGCTCCACGGCCTCAACGAGGGCTCATTCCCCGAATGGCCTTCGGGGTTTCGTGCTGGAGCTGGGCGTGGCCAGCGGAGTGCACTCTAAATCGCCGCCGTATGACACTTCGTTTCCTGCTTTCGTTGTTCTCGATTTGGGCGCTGCTTTTCCCTGCCCCTCGCTGGAGGACTTCGCTATGATCAACAAAGTACCTGCGCGTGCACGGCAGGCGTCATCGGGCATCGCGCAGTGATGCGCGCCCAGCGGATCTATCTACGCCGCCGTCGCAACGCCGTTCATTGGGGGACTCCAGATGCGCGTGGAAACGCCGCCGAGGGGCATTTGTTGCGCCCGCGCTGACGACATTGGCGCGGTCTCTGCGCCGTCCGTTCTCGTGCAGGCCTGGCGGGGATCATTTTTCACTGCCGAGGAGATCGCAGCGCTCTTCGTCGAACCTCCAAGTGCAAGCATGTCCCTCTCCGCGCGCCCTACTCCGTGGAGGCGTGCGCCCTACTTCGCTCGGCCCTGGCAGACCGTGCCCCCGTTGTTCGAGGAGATCCAGATCGTCGACGCGCCGATTTCTCTGGGTCGCGCCTTGGAACCTGCGGCGGACGACAGCGCATGCTGGGCCGCCGCCCCAGCGCTCAAAGCTCGGGGTCGCGCCAATATGATCGGCGGCGACCCGCTCGCCGTCTCCAGGGCCGCCAGCGCATGCTGCGCGACAGCTACCACCGCGCCGCCGCACATTGCGCAGTTCTGCGCAATGCTCGCCCAGCTATTCAAGGCGAAGGTTCTGTTTTGGGCGCGTTCGTTTGGATCCTCACTTTGC